TCTCTCTCTCTCTCTCTCTCTCTCTCTCTATTTCTCTCTCTCCCCTCTCTCTTTCTCTCTTTTCTATCTATCTACCTTTCTGTCCACCTATCTATCTATCTATCTCTCTCGGTCCTCTCTCTTCTCACTGTTTCAGCGTCCTCAATCCTAACTGCACACAGGCCATGCTGGGGAGGGTCACTAAGGCGGTTAGAAAGGGATATTTGAACTTTTGTTGTTTGCTGTAACCTCTCCGGCTGTAACGGCTCTATATTTCTGACTCTTTCTCACTCTTGTGTGTGTGTGTGCTCCTGTCTGTCTGTCTCTGTCTGTCTGTCTGTCTGTCTGTCTGTCTGTCTCTGTCTGGTCTGTCTGTCTGTCTCTCTCTCTCTCTCTCTCTCTCTCTCTTTCTCTCTCTTCTGTCTCTGTCTTGTCTCTCTCTCTCTCTCTCTCTCTCTCTCTCTCTCTCTCTCTCTCTCTCTCCCTCTCTCTCTCTCTCTCTCTCTCTCTCTCTCATTCTCTCTCTCATTCTTTCTCTCATTCTTTCTCTCCCTCCTCTCTCTCACTTCACACACCACACACACACACACACACACACACACACACACACACACACTCACACACACACACACACAACACAACACACACACACACACCAACACAACAATCACAACACACACACACACTCACACACACACACACCCACAACACACCACACACACACACACACACACACACACAACACCACACACACACACACACACACACCCCACCCACCCCCACACAACCACTCCCGACCATCACCAGCGCCTCACCATAGCGTAGTCATTAATGTGTTTGAGCGTAGTGTCTCGAAGCGTCCTGGAGGCCTGGTCGCTGACGGAACACCTCTCCAGCACACTGCTCTCGGCGCCTTTCGTCAGCAGCCAGATTTTTCTCGAAGATTCGTCCCGCACTGCCACCGACATGCATTTCCGGTCTGGAGAGTGAATGGGGAATTTTGTTTTTTTCTTTTAGTAATCGTTTGTTTATTAATTTTTTTCTCTCTATCGTTTTTTTTTCTCTCTCTTTATAAGCGTTTGTTTCATGAATTAATGAGGGATTTTTTTTATTTTTTTGTGTTTTTTATCGTGTGTTTCTTGAATGAGTTTGAATGTTTACCTAATTATTCTTATTATGTATTTATTCATTAGTTATACTTCTCCTTCTTCTCCTTTCGCGTAATGAGTTTGAATGTTTAATTTATTTTATATTATGTATCTATTCATTACTTATACTTGTCCTTCTTCTTCTTCTTCTTTTTCTCCTTCTCCTTTCCCTCCCTACCTCACCCTCGACAGTGTCCTACGCACCTGAGTCGAACTCGAGGATCTGGAGCCTGGTGAAGGTCCTCCTCGACCCCCTGACGCTGAGGAGGAGCCGGTCGTGGCTCTGACCCTCGAACACCACGCCGTACCTACGAGCAGAGCGGCCTTCTTTATTTCATTTTATTAATTTTTTATCATATTATTATTGGTTTTATTATTTTTATTGTTGTTGTTATTATTATATAATAATAATAATAATAATAATAATTATTATTATTATTATTATTATTATTATTGTTGTTATTATCATCACCATTATTATTATTACTATCATTTTTTCTGGAGGAGGAGGACAGGAGAGAGGAGGGTGAGGAGAGAAGTAGAGAGAGAGAAGAGAGAGGAAGAGACACAAACAGACAGACAGACAGACTGACTAACAAACAAACAAACAGTCATAGAGACAAAGAGAGATGTAGATACATACATTAGAAATTTAGATACATATTTAGATATATCTCAGTTACACCCCACACACACACACCACACACTCCCACTCTCCCCAAATCAAATGACCCCTGACTCTCGCGCACGCCTCCAGATACACCCCTGCACACACACACACACACACACACACACACACACACACACACATCACCAACCCCAACCCCGAATGACCCCTGACCTCGCACACGCCTCCACCAGCGCCTTCTCGTCCGGACTCGCCGCCTGGTACTCGAGCTGCATCTCCGCGAGTCGCATTTCGTCCGAAGAAGCGACGACCTCTCCCGTGTCCTTCTCCCGAGTCGTCACCTGCACCGTGTGGCACAGTGCCAAGGTCTCCAGGAAGGTTTCTAGAGTGTCCTTGGGGTAGGGAAAGAAAGAGAGGGAGGGAGAGAAAATGAATAAAGCAATGGACAAAGGATAAACGGGAAAATAACCCGTAAATCAAACTTACACCAAAACCTACAGATTAATTATCACTTAACCAAAGATAAATGGTTTCTTAAGGCTCATTTTCGCGTAGTATAACTCACAGGTAACGACGGTAGAGGTGATGTCTTGTTGTTCCGATCGTTCAGAGCGTGGATGTCGCCGCCAACATCGATGTACTTGGCACCGTTGACCGAACAGTGCCGGAAGTGCATGATGTTCTCCGTCAGTGTTCCCGTCTTGTCCGTGAACAGATATTGTACCTGAGCGAATTGTTCCAAGAA